CTCCCGCTCCCTCCTCTCCTCTCCCCTGCCCCTATCCCCTTTCCTGCCCCATCCACCCTCCTCTTCTGCCCCTGCTGCTGGCCCCCTCCTCTCTCCTGCCCCTTCCCCTCTTTTCCTCCTGCAGTCGCCTCCTTTCTCTCTTATCGCTCCTCGCTCCCTCCCCCTAAACAGCTGCGGCCCCTCTCACCGCTCTTTCTGCGGTTCCCGCGCCCTCTGAAAGACCGGCCTAAGGCCCCCGCAGCGGGCCTGGAGCGGTCGCGTCGAAGGTCCTCGAGTCTCGGCCACCGCCATCGGGCAGTCCGAGATGCGGCCCAGCAAGGCCCAGCTCCTTCCTCGCAGCTGGGGCCGCCTAGAGCGCCCGAGTCGCCAAGCCGAGCCCAGTCGCGGTCACCCTTTGACTGACACGAACGGGGGAGGGTGAGCATCCTCACCAATGGCTGCTCCCATTGGTCTTCGCGCCCAGCCAACGGCAACGCTTCCCTAGCGCCTCGCCCCCGCATGGGCTGCTGTGATTGGCCCAGGAGCTGGCCAATGAGAGCGGCAGGATTAGGGCCCAGGCACCAAGCCTGCTGGCCCGAGGAGCAGCTGGCTCAAGCTTCGCGATTCTGAGGAAGGGGGAAACTGACCTCAGGGCTTCAGTCTCTCCCTTAAGTAAAACGTCAGGCCTTTGGCGGGGGGGGGGGGGGGCGCAGTAATTCAATCCAGCGCAACGAGTTTTGTTAATTATTGATTGGGAAAGGGCCAGAGGCGAAGAGATGGGTGCCTCCAGAATCAATTGTGGCCCCCAGCCCGGCCTGGAGGCCGACCCTCCTCACATTTCTTTTGCGGGGTGGGGTGGGAAAGGGTTAGGGAGGCTAAGGGTCTGAAAGGATAACGTCTGAGGGCATCTGGCCTTACCAACTAGTTTTTCTTTCCCATGCCAACACAGTTGGTTCTTAAAATTTTTTCTGGGTTTTTTATTGTCTATAAACATGCCCATGTATCTCATAAATTATATCTCATATAAAAGAGGCAGGGAAGGACCTTTTACAGTGGAGGGGAAGTGGTGGGGGGGGAGCACTTGATCCTTACACTCATTGAATTGGATAAAAGAGGGAATAAATATGCACACTCAGTTGGGTAGAGAAATCTATCCTACCCCACAGGAAAAGCAGGAGGGGAAGGGAATGGGGCGGTGCAGCTGATAGAAGGGAGGGTCAATTGGGGAAGGCAGCAGTAAGAAGCAAAACACTTTTGAGGATAGACAGGCTGAAAGGAGAGGGGGGGAGAGAGAGAGAGAGAGAGAGAGAGAGAGAGAGAAACGGAGAAAATAAGATGGAGGAAAATAGACAGTAATCATAAATTTTTACAGGAAGTTTCTCTGATAAAGGCCTCATTTCTCAAATATATAGAAAAGAGTCAAATTTATAAAAATACAAGTCATTCCCCAACTGATAAATGGTCAACAGATATGAATAAGCAGTTTTCAGACAAAGAAATCAAAGCTATCTACAATCATATGAAAAAGTACTCTAAATCACTATTATTTAGAGAAATGCAAATTAAAATCTCTGATGTACCACCCCATCCCTATCAGATTGGCTAATATGAGAGAAAAGGAAAATGACAAATGTTGGAGGAGATATGGGAAAATAGAGACACCAATGCAATGTTGGTGAAGTTGTATGCTGATTCAACCTTTCTGGAGAGCCATTTGGAACTATGTCCAAAGAGCTATAAAACTGGGCATACCCTTTGACCAAGCAACACCACTATTAGGTCTGTATCCCAAAGAGATAAAAACAAAAATGAAAAGGACCTATATGTACAAAAATATTTATAGCAGCTCTTCTAGTGGTGGCAAAGAATTGGAAATCGAGGGGATGCCCAGCAATTGGGAAATGGCTGAACAAACTGTTTTATGTGATTGTGATGGAATGGTATTGTGATTTCAGAAGTGACAAGCAGGATGCTTTCAGAAAAACCTGCAAAGACTTACATGAACTGATGCAAACTGAAATGAGCAGAACCAGGAGAACATTGTAACATAGTAACAGCGACATTGTATGATGATCAACTGTGAATGACTCACTATTCTCAGCAATACAATGATCCAAGACGATTCCAAAGGACTTATGATGAAAAATGGTATCCACCTCCAGAGAAAGAACTGATACAGTCTGAATGTAAAGCAAAGCATTCTTTTAAAACTGTTTTAATTTTCTTGTTTTTGTTTGTCTGTGTTTTCCTTCACAACATGACTAATTTGGAAATATGCTTTGCATTACTACACACGTATCCCCTATATCAAATTTCTTGCCTTCTCAATGGGAGGGGGAGAGGAAGGAGGGAAAGAGAGAATCTGTAACTCAAAATTTTAAAAAATGAGTGTTATAAACTGTTTTACATGTAACTGGAGGAAATACTACATTAAAAAATTCACCAGAGTGAAAAAGAAAGAAGAAAACATATTCTTTGTTACATAAGATGGCTCTCTGGTAGGGAAGAGGGGAGAGATACTAGCAGAAACTCAGGCAATGTTACAACAAAAGATATCAACAAAATTTGATTTAAAAAAAGAAAGTAAGTGTTACAAAATTACAAAGAACAAGCTTGGCCCCAAAGATATGAAAAGACACCTCCCTGCACTGCTTTTCAAAAATGGGAGGTCCAAAAGTGTGCAACATTGCATATGTCAGGTATTTTTTTCAATATTTTGATTAGTTTTACCGAATTTTTTTTTCTCTTCTTTTTCCTTGCTTCTTAAAAAAGCCTTTGTCATAAGGATGATGACGGGAAAAGTGGAGGGATATATTCTGTGACGTTAAAACAAAAGATACTAATAAAAATCTATTTTAAAAACTACACAAACGACAGAAGGAAGTTCAGAAGAAGACACAGATGAGCCAAGTAGGGCATTAATATTTGTCTCATGCTCAATTTAATATACATTTTTTAAAAGTGCACTTAACAGAAGTTCAGAGTTTTATGTCCAAGCCTCCTTGCTATTCTTTGTAAAATGAAATATTCATATTTACTGATGTTAAGCTCACAAAAAATTAGAATTTTAGGTAATTACAAGGAAACTGAAAATCAATCAATTAAACAATGATTGGGTTAAAGAGGATCTCAAAAAAGGCAGAAGAAAATTTAAGTGACAATAATTATAATACTATATAATGAAGCCTGTGGGATACAACCAAAGCTGTACTGAGACATGAATTTATATTAACTGCCTTTAACAAGAAAGAAAAGGGAAAAAATAAATCAATTAAGCATAAAATTGATGACCCTAGAAAGGCCCTACAAAGCAACAATACGAAAGAATACGAGGAGATGATTAGAGTTAGGGAAGAAAGAAAACAAATAGAGGACAGTACAATTCAATTGATAAAACTTTGATAAATTGATAAAGTTTCTTTTAAAAAAGACTAACAAAATTTAGCCATTATCAAATTTAACAAGCACCCCCCAAAGGAGGGTGCACATCACTATAATCACAAATTAAAAAGGAGAGATGACATCAAATACGACAAAAATCAATAATATTAGGGGATAGTATACACAGTAATAGTCTAACAAATTAGAGAATTTAAATAGATTCTTACTTACAGGCATAAATATTGCCAAAACCCACACCACAGAAAATTACTCATTTAAATAGACCAGTCTTGGAGGAAGAAATAAGACAAGTCATCAAATAGTTACCTAGCCAAAAACAAATCACCTAGACAAAACAGATTCATATCAGAATTCTTCCAAACTTTTCAAGAACAAATAATCTCTATGTTTCATAAATAATTCATAAATACAGAGAAAGATGGATCATTATCTGATTTCTTTTATGAAGCAAATTTGGTGCTGATTTTAAAATCAGAGAAAGATAATATTAAAAAGAGATTTACAGATCAATTTCTCTAATGAATTTCTCTAATTCTCTAATAAATTTCTCTTGCAAAACTACTAAAGCCACTTCGAGACTGCCACATTACAACTAAATAAAATATTAGCTCATAGAAGACAGCAATATACTAGAATATGCTTTATTATGACCAAGCCAAGTTTATGTCAGGTACAGAAACCTGATTAAACATCAGAAACTATTAACATAATAAAACATTGAATCCTCAAACTAAAAAAAAAAAAAAGCATAGAATTATGTCAATGGATACAAAAATAGCCTTTAACAAATCAAAGCCGGGGGGGGGGGGGGGGTAGGTGGTGTAGTGGATAGAGCACCGACCCTAAAGTCAGGGGGACCTGAGTTCACAACCCGGCCTCAAACCAAACACTTGGCACTTACTAGCTGTGTGACCCTGGGCAAGTCATTTAACCCCAACTGCCTTAAAAAAAATCCACGATTTATTCATGATAAAAAACACTAAAGAGAATAATTGTTTTACCTCAACAAAATAAAAAGTATCCAACAAGCTAAGAGCCAACATAATAAGCAATAGAAACATTACAAACATTTTTAATCAAAACAGGGACAAAGAAAGGCTGCCAACTCTCGCTACCTTTATTTGACACAGTATGGGAAACTCGATTTCCCTCTTTGTGGGTAGGAAGAAGCCGGGACAATCAGTCAACAAGCATTTCATTAATCTCCTATGTGCTGCAAGGCACTGTGTTAAGCACTGAGGGAAGTGGCAAAAGACAGTCCCTGCCCTCAGGGAGTTCACAGTCTAAAAGGTGAGACCACAGAAAACCAGCTATGTACAAGCACAATACACACAAGATAAATCCGACTAGCTAGGAGGTGATCACTCCCTTGCTCTCCTATATTCAAGACGGGTATTGGAATGATATCTATTACACATCAGATATTTGGAGTCAGGGATTAATTCTTTTCATCAAAGTGGGATTAAAATTTTTTAAAAAAAAAGCCACTTTCTCTAGTCAGCTGGGGAGGGAGGAGAGTTCCGCCCCACACCTAGAGGGAAACAGTTTGCTTAATCTTGGCCAGCTCGGTTTCCCTCCTACTAAATGGGTATCACACAAAAGCCATTCACGGGGTAGCAAGCAAACATATTTATCAAAGTAAGGCATTTTGGAACAGCATTGGGGAAGCTGTATAGATGAATTTAGGTCATAGACTACACACGAGTTGGAGGGTTTTGTGACCCTGGAGATGAAAACCCATCTCAACCAAAGAGAGAACTAAGTCAGCTTTCAGACGTCTCTGGGCATCAAGTGTGCCGGCGGTGGCTGCGCCGGGGCTTGCCAGGGGGGGGGGGGCGGTGGGGGGGGGGGGGGGGGGGGGGGCGGAGGCGTCTCTGCCTCCTCTTTCCCTGTTTCTCTGCTTCTCTCAACGAACAAGAACTCACCCCGGAAAGTCACGGGACTGTTCTTCAGGGGACCACCAAGCACACCTGGAGTGGGGCTATTTGAAGATGGGAAAACTGGGAGGATGGCAATTTGTTTAGGCGCAGGTATTCCACACTGAATTTCAGCTCTATGAGGGACTTAAATATTTAAGATCAAGCTATAAAAAGCTGAGGAAATTAGAATAAAGTATCTCAATTGCGGAGGGGAGATTAAATTTTTTCAAAATATTATTAGGCACAAAATGGATGTTCTTGATTAGATGGAAATATAATTACTCTGTACAACCAAAACCAGTGTAACTAAAGAAATAAAAATAATGGATTCATGGAAATATTTATAGCAAATGTGATAGATTAAAAAATTAAGACATGAAACCTATAAGGAAATACGAAAGGGTCAAGGTGATAGATCAGGGGTGGAGAACCTACAGGCCTCAAGGCCTCAGGTGGCCTTTTAGGTCCTCTGGCGTGGCCTTTTGTCAGAGTCCAAGTTTTACAGAACAAATCCTTTCATTAAGAGGATTTGTTCTGTGAAGTTTGGACTCAGTCAAAGGGCTGCACTATCTAGCAGATAGATAATTCCAAGTCCACAATGGTCAAAGGATAGGACTTGAAATTTTTCAAATGAAGAAACCCAATGTATTAACAATCACTTGCAAAAATGCTGTCTTCTTCAATAAAAATCAAAGAGACACAAAAATTTAAATAGCTTTGAGGTACTACCTTATCCCCATACAATGAAAGGAAATAATTGAAAGTTCAGTATTTGCAAAAATGTGGAGAAACAGGTAGGTTTCATCCACTGTTGATAGAATTTTTTTGGAGAGCAATCTGGCAGTACAAAGTAAATATTATAAAAATAATCATACCCTTTGATCCACCTAGTGGGAATATATCCTGAAAGTATTATCAAAAAATGAAAAAAGCTATCTGTACAAAAATTTTCATAGTGTACTATAGTTGTTGTTCAGTTGCGTCTGACTTCTCATGACCCCTTTTTGGTTTTTTGTTGTGCTTTTCTGCTGTTGTTTTTGGCAAAGATGCTGGAGTGGTGGTCCTAGTTTTACAGACAGAAGAACAATTTTAATTCAGTAATCTCGCTCAGTCTACCAGATAGCGAGATAGGGGAAAAAAAAAAAAATGAAACTTGGTTGCACAGGCCTACTATTGCATGGGATTTTAACTTTCCAGCCTCAGTGTAACCCAATGACCTAACTTAACAGGCTCATAGTGAAACACGATCCTAACTGTTCAGGACGCTAACCTTCCAGACCAATATAATATACGAACGTAACTGTCCAGGCTCAGTTTGACACTGGGCCCTAATTGTACAGACCCAATGTAACAATGCAGATTCAGTTTTAGTGGGTTGAGGATGGGGGTGGGAGTCGGGGTGCCCAGACCCAACAACATGGGGACCTAACTGTCTGAAGAAAATGCAGCAAATGAAGGCCTAGCTGCCCAGATCTAGTGTTACTTGGGCATCTTATTCCCAAGAAAAGATTTCATCTAACTGTTCAGACCATGTATTAACATGTGCTACCTCTGGTCGCTTGTGAGAGGAAGAGGAAGAGGAAAGGGGCAGGAAAAGGGGAGCCTGAACTGAAGAATAAGGAGACAGAGCTCTGCAAGTGGTTTGGAATTGTGAAGGGCAGACATTGGACGTGGGAGGTAGAAATTTGGGACAAATGGAGAAGCCGAAGAGGAAGTGAAAAGTTAAAGCTAAAGGGCTCTACTACCTAAAGGAGAAGGAATTCAGCTCAGGGAGGGTTCGAGGAGGTCTCAAAGGAGACCCGAAAAGTCAAACGAAATTTTGTCAGGGGTAGGGGGTACCATGTCATCTGGCTGGTGGAAGACACTATGACAGAAGGCGTGCTTGCCTTCCCATTGCGGCCAGGTTGCCTGCCTCCGATGTCTGTCGGGCTCTTCTACGGCCTTCCCTCTCACACTGCCTCCAGTTGGACCCTGTCTGTAATTCCCGATCATCCCCTTCCTCCCTTTCCTGAAGAGAGGCTAGCGGAGGTATGTCTTTTGGGTGTTTGAAGATCCAGCTCTCCGCCACCGTCACATCTGTTTTGCCCTCGGTTTGTCAGGCTGAGAAGGGCCACGGGCTTCGGGAGTTTGAACTGGGCCGCCTGACCCACGTTGTGACTTGGTTGACGTTTATTTTACGTATCCCGGAGGTGACCCAGCAGCTAGGTGTCACAGCGCATAAAGTGCCAGGCGTGGAGTCGGTAAGACCTGAGTTCCTAGCTGTGTGACCCTGGTCAAGACACTTAGCCCTGCCTGCCTCAGTTTCCTTATCTGTAAAATGAGCTGGACAAGCCAATGGCTAACCACTGCGGTATCTCCACCAAGGAAACCCCACACGGCGTCATGGAGAGTCTGACACGACTGAAAACGACAGGACAAAACAAACCTAACAGCGCACCACCTCCACTGTCGAAAGGGGTCACTTCCCATCACCCCCAGGCTCTCCGGTCTCGACGCCGCAGCCTGCACAGGCCCGATGCTGCCCCGGGCGGCCGGGGGCGGGGCGGGCCCCAGGAGGGGGGAGGGGCAGAGGGCGACGACAGGGCCTGCTATTGGCCCAGAGCCTCGTCGGCCCCGCCCACCCTGCGTCAGCGCCGCTCGGCGGAGGGAAGATTCAAAAGAAACAGCGTCTGCCGCCCTTTCCTCCTTAGTGAGCCCCGCTGCGCTAGCATGGCGGAGCCGCAGGCCGAGGTGGGGACCGAGGCCGAGGAGGCCGAGCTAGAGGTCGGGACCGAGACCGAGGAGGCCGAGCTAGAGGTCGGGACCGAGGCCGAGGAGGCCGAGCTAGAGGTCGGGACCGAGGCCGAGCTAGACGTCGGGACCGAGGCCGAGGAGGCCGAGCTAGACGTCGGGACCGAGGCCGAGCTAGACGTCGGGACCGAGGC